AATCATATGTAAATACCTTCAAAGATTTGCATAAAGACGCGCTATAAATTAGGCTTTTTTATTTTATTTTCGTCAGCAGTTTTCAGGTTCAAAGCAATTAAGTAATAACACAAATCAAAGTAAACAAAGGCAACATTTAAAAAAGAAATTATGCAAGCCCGCCTGGCGAAAGAAACCATGGTTCGGTGATTTGGAGGCCTCCGACCTGTAAGACATATTACCACCACTCATTTCAAGTTCAAATAAAAAGCCCCATTTTGGGCTAATTTCAACATTGTTTTGTTTTTCCAACACTACGTGCGTCCAATGGATCCAATAAAAACCAATACAATCCAGTGGTCAGTGGCCGGTCAACTCCCATTATTACTGGTTGAATCCATCGAGTTTTTCACGCTTTCGTACTCGGCACAATTGACTCGAATTGCAATTGAAAAGGAAAAAAAAAACGAGAAGCGGCAAGAAATAAACTGCAATGTTAGACAAGCATATGTGCCCACAGCTATGGCCACAGAAATAGCACTAAACTCCTTAAGTCTAGTGCTTTTGAGTAATCAGTTTCATTTATGCGGGCAATTTAATATAATGCTGGAGAGCTGTGAACTATTTAAAGCTATACTTAGTTGAGATTCGTAATGTAATCTAATTTATTTCTTGCTTATTCGTCACAAATTGTTCTTTATCTACGCAAGTTTGCGCATAATTTGTATTTTACTTTTTACTTTACTTACACAGAGATAAATATTCAAGTAGATTGTTCTTGAATTGAGAACATTCGTTCTTAAAAACAGTGTAAGTACATTTTGATATCAATTTTCTCAATTTTAGATCGAAATGGTGAGAAGAGATAAATTAAATAGAGTTTATTTATTTATGTATAAACTAATAGTTTAGTTTATGAGATATACAATGTAAAAAATGACAATTAAACTTGATTTAAGCACAATGAAAACATTTTAACTTCAAAATATTCGATCGATTTTTAAGTACATTTTCAACTCAGATGAGAACGTAAGATTTGCTTGGATGCTCTGTTGCCAGTTTGCTTTGCTGGCAGCATGCTTTTTGCTTACGCTCGGATTCTCCCCCTTAGCACGTGGTTAGAATTCTGCTTGTGTGTTCGCTTTTTTTTTTGGGTGACAATTTTTGCGTTGGAAAAATCTTTGAAGCGTCACCAAAGTCTAAAATATCAGTGGGAAGATTCGGTGGGGATGATGGAAGCATACCGGTTTGCTTAGAGAGCAAACACGTTTGCTAAGCGGCTGCCCTTGTCAAGGTCATGCCCAGTCAAATGCTGCTCTTTTTTTGTTTTGTACATTTATTTTGGTTTTCTGTTTTACCAAAGGCATACTGCAGCTTTGGTTTCACAATTTAATGTAGAGGTAAAATGATGGACCAGCAGCTGATCTATTGTATAACTGTGATGTCCCCGGCTCTTAACACAAACGTGGATAAACCACAAAAAAAAAACACATAGGACTGGGAGGGGGGCAAATAAACTGTGGTTGTTGGGGGCTCTTGAGTTCAACGACTTCACATGACAATTGGCCATTGTTACTGTTGTTGTTGTTGTTGTTTGTTGAATGTTTTGTCGTGGCAAAAGCAAAAGCACAAGCAAGATCAACAGCACGAGCAATTAAAAAGACGTTAATTTGTCGACTTTTGTGGCCACGAAATTGAATTTTCAACTGACCAACTCCAGTGATTAATAGCCATAGAGCAGCCAAGTTGTCTATCCCCATATCTCCTATCTTCCAACGCCGATCCCGAATGAAATTCTTTGAGTCGATTTGCTTTGGGGCAAATGGGAAATGGTCCGCTTCTGTCGCTCATAATTACCGGAGCCTAAATTAACGATTGAGGCGCAGACGCCAACGGTTAAAGTCACAGTCAGCGAACTCTGAACACCGCACACAAACCATACCAAACCAAATCCAAACCCCCAGATACAAAAATACATAGCTAACAGATACAGATACAGCCAAAGGTATGCTCGTGCATGATTCTAATTACTATGTATGGGGTTTTGTGCCCCATGGATTATATAGACAATGCACAGGGAGCGGGATATGGAATATAGTAGTAATAGTAGTAGTAGAAATCCAGCAGCAACAAGAACTCTATTGTTCGGCGAGCGTCGCCAGCGGAGCGTCAGTCAAGGAATGGAGAATGGAGAATCGAGAACGGAGAATGGAAGTTCAAGTACCCCCTGTCAGAGGCATTACATGATAGCCATAGATCATAGAGGAAGTCTTTAAGCAAACGTCGTACCCCAAGCGAACAGATGAGGTGGGAATTATGGTGGTGCAAAACTTAAGAACTTAGAAAATGCAATGATATGAGGTATACTTAGTATAAAAGTCATGATATGTTTCTATTTTTAACTATTCGTTTACAAAAAGTAATTATATTATAACTTTCTAATAAAAGAACATCGAGAAGGACGGATCAGATATATTTATAATGTTAATGTATTTTTGGTATTAATCTATTGGACAATAAAAATAATTTTTTTTAACTGTTCATTGACCAAAAAAATGGTTTATGCAAATTATATATTCTAAAAATTTTTCTTATAGTTTTTACCACAATACTAAAGAGATAACGTAATAAACTTTTAGCCCTATTAGCTTTCCCGCATTTGTTCCACAGCTTGTAGCAGTTTTGTGTACACAACGCATTACACAGAATTCCCAGTATCAAATGTAAAAGGGGATCATCGACGGCGATTGGCCATTAAAGATTTAGAAAGGCCCTTCATCACACGGGTCGCCCAAATGCCCAACTGCCCAAAATCGAACGAAAGTGAGAGGAGCGCGCGGCAGAGTGACAGGTTCAAAAAGTGAGATAAAGTAATGGCGCCCAACGGGGGGCTTTTTTGGGCAGGGGGGATATGAAAGAGAGTGATCTGAATCGGAAAGGAAATAAGTCGCAGATTCCTTGAGTGAATGGTAACCCAAGACCTTGTTTGTTTGTCTTTTGTTCGCTTTTTGAAATCTTTCCGGGGATTTAAGCTTCTTGCGAGGCAGCTGCTGTGCTGACACTTTTTTCTGGAGGGGTTGTCGGTATTATCCCCTATACCACAGATCCCGAACTTCCCTAGCAAATTGCGCGTCGGTGAGAATCGGAATCCGAATACGAATCCGAATCAAAATGAGAACAATTCTACTGGTGGGTCAAATACCTTGGACAAACTCAACGAGCAACCATCTTTTTGTTTTCTCACTGAAATTGTTTATTGTTCGGCGGCTGGAGCGATGCAAATGTTGTATAAAATTCAATAAAATGCGAAACCAGTTTATCAGTTGATCGCCGATCTCGGTTTCTCAGTGAAAAGTCTTGGGCAAAAGTTGCCAAATAATAAACGCGATATGTGTGTGTACATTGAAATTAAAAATTTAAATATAAAATAATACAAAAAAAAATCGTCGGCAGTTCCGAGCTTCATGTCCCAATCATCATCATCACCGTTTGTTGTCTTTGTCGCCGCTTCTTTGTTTGCGTCGCTTTTATTTGACTTTTTCACATTTTTACTTTTTTTATGGTACTTTTTTGTACGTTTTATGTGAGATTCAATTAAAAACTTTTGACCAGCAATTTCATAAATTTGCAGGTTTATGGACAGGGGAAAATAGCAGAGGGTGCTTTAAACGTATACATCTCCATCGCCAACCAGTTTGATGTTAATCAATTTTCGCAACAAATTTTTGCACTTGCCATTTGCCTTAGCGGAACCAAAAAAAAAAATTTAAAAACATGCTGCGAATGTTTTTCAAAAGGAAGCATGCGCTAAATAGAGCCATACAAGTATCTATTTACGTTTTATCTCCTTTTTTCGCGTTTCTCACTTGCTGGAAATTACTTAATATGCATTTAGCCGCCGTGCTTCGACCTTACATAGCTGCCTGCTTTTTTGATCGATAGTTGAAAGCCGCGATAATGCCGTTTCCGCTGTGGTTTTCAGCGCCGATCGCGCCAGCATCATTATGGCCATAAACCATTGATTGCCGCTCAGTTATGTGGCCGCCTGCCCGTTTGGATAATTATATTATCAGAGCCAGGCCTCCCATTCCGATGTTGTAGTATTCTGGTTCCCTGGTTCTCAACCCCCAGATCTTCAGATCTTCGGATCTCCAAAGTTTAGCAACGAGGAAGTGAAGAGCAGACCGAGCTTTCGAACCAATCCACTCCAAACCGATCCGCTGCTTTCACTGCTGACTCAGTGGGTTTTTCTTCTGACGAAGTCCAACTATCTGTCATTTTGATTTTCCGCTTTTTGCAGGGCACCGTGGGGCAACAACCGTTCAAGATGGAGCGATTTCCCAGCCTCCATGAAAAATCAAAGTGAGGTAAAATCAAAAAGGGGTACATTTTACTAAAACTAAAATATTTATTTTTCTAAATAAAAATATGACCAGAAAATATTCTTAACGTAATATTCTACATAAGAAATTATTTTATGCATGCTAAATCAGTCGGAGAAACTATCAGTGTCTGTAAGTCGATCAAATATATATCTAATTTGAAAATTAGGAAAATCACGTACAGGAAATTTAGCATTGAACGTGTGAACTTTTTAAATAGAACAATAGAAAGTGCACATAGAAAATAGTGACCTCTCCCTTGGGCGGACAAATGTTGTCCTATTAAAAGTTGTTGAATAGTTTTGTTTTTTAAAAATAAAGATAAACGACTATGTCGTTATATTTAAAGATTATATTAATAGCTTTCCTAAACGAACAGGCTTTGATATATTCCTATGAATCGGTCAAATAAAATTTCGTTCCAATATCCTTTGCCCCACTGTGCAACGTGTGAATTTTTGCAGCCCAGGAGAGTTTTTTGCCCCCAGCACACCGGCATAATTTACCGTTTTGGAGCTTTATCTGCCAATCGGAGATCGTAGTTAGTTGGTGGTATTATTCCTGTTGGTGTTGCACTGCTCGTAAGTGAATTTTTCAGAGCTGCTGCAAAACGGAAACCCGTAGAAACAGACAACTTACCTAGACAGCGACCTCAATTAGCAAATCTGTTTGGGCCCGGTCTTTCCATGGTTCTAACTGCCTTTTGATGTGAAGTGATGTGATGTGCTGTTGTTGGCTTAATAGCGCTCTATTTCCTGTCAGTTCACATGCATCGGTCCATAATGCCTGTACCCAGGTTAACACACTCTCACACACTCTCTTTTCTATCTTTCTTTCTTATTTTTATATTTTTTTTGGTTAATTTTTTTTTTGGTAGGCACTTTCAAACGAAAAAAAAAGTGTAAAAAAATAAAGCAAATTATTTTGCACACACTCGAACACACTCGCCGCGTAGCCAATTAAAAAGCCATGTAACGTATGTAAATAAACAAAACCTGGCGAATTCTTCCCCCAGTTTTCTTCGTCCGCGAGAAAATGACGCAGCGTGAGCGACCGTTCGGCATGAAACTCGTTTCTCGACTGAACCGCTCAGCTGAAAATCGACTGAGCCTCAGCTGCAGTTGCTCGGTAGCAGCGGTCGCCAGCGGTCGCCAGCTGACGACGAAGAGCGGGAGAGCTGAGCTGGTGCTGGAGCTGGAGCACCACCCATCCACCGATTCACCGATTCACCCTCCCGAAAACCCAAAACCCACCTCCCGATCTCCTGAGGCCCCGAACCCCCGATCTTGGGAATGTGCATTAACCGGGCGCACGCACACGGGGCGAACGGCCCAACCCAGGTCCACGGGAATTACAATTAATTTGACCAACATTTTTTGTAAGAGCACCCTCCCTATATTGGGTACTCGTACTCCTGTAATTCGGACTTAAAAAACAAATCTGTTTTAAAGAACAGTTGACAGGCTATAAAATATCTAAAAAGAGTGGTCTACAAATAAATAAAATGTATGATGTATTGATAAATGTTTAAATACGAATTGAATCCATAGTTAGGGATGTGTTAAATAAATAAATAAATATTAAATATTAGTTATATATTATTTTGGGGACTACCATTTAACAAGAGAATATTTAGATTCGATTACTATATATTATAATAGATTACTATAGTTGAAGAACTGCTAAATATTATCCTATTATATTTTTTACACAAACTTTCTTGTTTGAAATTATAATATGATATTCTTAAGATACCATTGAAAATTAAAAATGAAAAACTACAAATGAACTGTTTTTATTGTCACATCATCAATGCATTATTTATAAAATAAAAGTAAGGGTATTAAAAGCTTCGGCAGTTTTAACACAAGGTTCTTAGTTCAATTTCAGTTGTTGATCACGTTGGAAGCTTTGCCCTCATACGCTAGAAATACACAAATGTAAATATGTAAAGGCTCCCAGGGACCGTAGAAAAACACAATAACGATGCATTCCATTTTGATTTATTGTATATTGAATTTATTTAGATGCTTGTCTTTGGAATTTGTTCTTTAAATAATTGAATTTCTTATCGAATTTCAAGAGAAATTCATTTTTGCACTCTACTACTCTGGTAAAATACAAAGTTCGACCAAAAAAATCAAACAGATGTTATGTATACTTCGGTAGCCATATACATAAAATCCGTTGTGTGTATCTGAATTACAAAGTAATTTACTGAATATCTCACGTGGTGTAATCGGTGCTGGATCAATGAATGCATCGAGTGAATCTGAGTGATAAATGCCTAATAAATCGATCGCGTACTCACTATTCAAAAGTAATTCGTTTATGTCAATTATATAACTATAACTAGAACTATTTAGATCCATGTATATATATTAGATTTTCTATTAAAGCTGATAAATGTACTTGATCGTTAGTTATTAATTCGTATAATTTGTTAGCATTTTCACAGCTCAGGGCTGCATTCAACAATTTTCGTGCTTTTCGTTTTCTCGATTCCGATTCCGATTCCAATTCCAATATCAATTTCAATGTGAAATGAACTACCAAGTTTCTTTATATATATATACTATATGTATATAAGATCCAACTGATGCAAAAGTTCCGTTTGTAAATAGTTGAGAAAACGTGGAATTCAAGTACTAAAAATTGTATTACGACCGACAACTAACGACTGACTATGACTACTACGAACTGCTGAGGCTGTAAATGTTATGTGTATAAAGACTACTACGTTAAGCTACCCACACAATAGTTCATTGGATACGTAAGGCCATTTCACTGTCTCAATCCCGCAACATAAGCCCGAAACTGCTAAGCTATAAGACATAATCATGATCTCTAAAAAATAGTCAGTGTACGAACTCCTCTAGATCCTAATTCATTTGGCTGGACTGCAAGTGTTATGTGTTATGTTTTTAATGTCTAAAATGTCTATAATGTCTATTTTGGAGTGAGTGTGTGTGCCCAGTATTACCAACTGACTGCCATTCGTTGTCTAAATCTTATTTGGCTGGGACTCGGTTCCTTGGCTCTGCTGGCAGGAGAATCGATTTTTATCGCTTTAATCTTTTATCGCTTTATCGTTTTTGGACGCAATTGGACGCCTAGAGCTACCCGGTATCGTTCCGATCCGGGGGATTCGCTAGCTACAAAGTCGTATCAAAAATCTTAACATACTACAAAGTGTTTGGTTTTGCATTTTGCCAGTTCTTTCGGTTGGGACAGCCCGTAAAGATCACCGTGATATGGTTGCAGTTGATCACTGCCTATCGACGGGCTGCCCCGTGCAAATGGTTATCAATCATCGCTCATCGATCATTGCTCATCGGTAATCGCTAATCTAGGTTCTTCAGATGCTTAGCTAAATCTACCCACAGAACACAGTTAGTAACAGTAACAGAGGGGACAAGTGGATCGGGTGGTGGTGGTGAATCCCTAGCCTGCGACTATTTGGGACACAGAGTTGGTGCGTCGGCGTTTGGTGATCTGCTTCCACAGGCGGCGGTTCAGTGATGGCTTGTCCTGAAATCACAATCGATAATTATCGTCGTTCAGTTTTCGAATGATCATTGTACACTTACGTTATCCTTGCGCGGCGACATCTGGGCCATCTCGACTGAATCCTGGGCCTGCGGCTGACCCGGCGGCAGCTTCTGGAGAAGAATACTGCTCTGGCTGTGGCTCGGATGGGGCTGCTCGCCAAAGGCGCCGTCGGAGAAGTTGGGGGTGCTGCCGGCGGTTATCTCGGAGTTGCGACGCTTTATAAAGTTTATTCTGCAAAAGGTTTAAAGATATATGGAACAGATCAATGATGAAGGATAGTCTTATAATGATTAAAAGATAATAAGTAGATTTACTTGATATTCTGGAATACTCACAATCGCTTTGATCTGCCCACTTCGGTCTCGAGGAATGCCTCCTCAGTCATTGTTGTTGTGGTTGTGGTACTGATGGCTCCCGCTCCGTCCATCGAAGTAGTACTCCTCGTCCTCGTCAGAGAGGCTGCTGCAGCTGCTCGTTTGGGCCAGGAAGAGCCGCGTTTCTCCGAACTCGAATCCATCCCCGAACGCATCTCCGTAGCCATGGCCACCAGAGTGGTCGTGCTCATCGTGGACGTTGATGTGGTCGTCTCCCTGACTCGACAGCCACTCCTCGATTGAGACATGGAGTATATCTTCTCGCGTCTCGCTAAGATTTCCAGATCGCCTAATTTGCTCCCGCCTCTGTTGGAGCTGGAGGCGGTGTTGTTGTCGCCGACGTTTCCGTTCCCTCCGGCGACTCGACCAGCAAATCCACCACCTGCTTGAACCACCAGCTGACCCATTGGCTCGACGCCTGCACGGGTTAAACCACCGGCGAGCGGACTGCTGCCGTGGCTGCTGCTGCTGCGACTGTGATTGTTGTTGCTGATGGAGCCGCCCAAGGCGCCCGCTGAGAGGGGGCGGGGCCGGCGGTTCACCGTCGGCGTGTCCATCTTTGAGTTGCGTTGTTGAGAGTACGATATGACAGCCTCTCTTGGCTGCACCCTGTTCGTGGCTGAACGACTCAATAAATCGCGACCCGTCAGACGATGAAATGTGGAGAGGTCGTGCCTGCAAAGGGGATTTTATTTAGTTCGTTTTTATTTTTAAATCGAAAGGATTTAGAAAGGACCTCATCAATGATTCAATGGTATTCAGTGATTGAATTGATTATCGATAAATTGCAATTTTCATTATCAAGTTAACATAATTAATCGATAATCATTTTAATCTTTGATAACTCTTAAATCGAAAAAGAGAGAAATTGCTGTAAGTAAGAGTTAGAAAGGCAATTCGAAAGTTAAGACAGTCGTATTTTGAACTTCATAGTCGTGGGTTGAAGATTTTCGAATACTTAGGTATACACACTAAACTAATATGGAATTTCATCAAAACAAAAATAATATCTCATCTTATTTTTATCGGTGAACTTAAAACATTGAGTTAGCCTGTTTACGATGCTTTTTTTTTGTCCACCTTGATGACGCACTTACCCCAGAATAGTTGTTAGATCTGGACCAGGCTCGTAGCAGATCAAGTCCTCGTCCCCGAGGATGTCGTGGTTGAGGGCCAGCCGCATTTCCAGCCTTGGGCTTAGGCCGCATCCAGCGTGGGGCACTGGGGCAGCGGGTGGTGCGTCTGGTGGTGCAGCTGGCTGTGCCACTGCAGCTGGGCTGCTCTGCCCCCTCGGCTGTGGGCTGTTGTAGTTGCTGTGGTGGGTGGGACTCTGGCGGATCGGTTTTGCCATCCTCGAGATCGAGACTGTTGCTGATGAAGTGGCTGAGGCGGGCCTGGGTGCCCCCAGCAGGCAGGTCTCGATTATCGTTGACGACGGTCGTTTTGGCCCCACCCCCGACGCTGGCGCTGCCGCCGAGCTGCTGGTACTCGGCGTTGATGGCATTGTCCTTGACCCGGTAGCGATTGGGTCCGAACCGCTGGCGGCGCCGCCGGCAACCGCCGAGGAGCCATTGTCAGCAGTAGCGCCAGATTTTTTTCGTTGTGGCTCCTAAGAAGATGGATACAAAAAATAAAATTATATAACTTCGTTTAAATAACATAGTTTCAGCTGACTGGCTGAAAAGGTGACCCCAAACTGCACATTTAGAAAGCCCAACACTTGAAATCGGAGTTTGATTAGTCTACTTCTAAAGCCCATAAGTAGACTAATCGAACTCCGATTTCAAACCAATTTTTTTCTAAAAATTGTGGATTCATTCTCTATTCGAACTGGTAGCTCACCGTTTTGGCCTGGGCAGCGCTTAGATCGGTCTGCGTGAGGAGCAAGCGACGCGGTGGCGGTGGCGGCGGCACAAATCTCGGAGGCCTGCCGCTGGCTCTGCCGCCGGAGTTCGTAGTGCCGCTCGCGCTGCTGGTTATTGTAGTAATCGATGAGGGAGCTCGACTCGGCGTCGTCGTCATCGTCATCATCGTCGTCGTCATCGTCT